TCCTACCCATGAGTTTGTCGATCATAGAGTGAGTTATCCGGACAAAATCCCGGAGATCAACATCAGAAATATCCACGGCACACACGCCAAAAGGCAGAAGCTTTACCCATTGTTATTCCATGGATAAAGGATTTGCCTTTCGGAAAATGTCCGAATTAGTTGATACTTTAACCCATTTAAGAGCCTATTTTCTTGAATTCAGCTCAAACTTGAAAAGTCAAGTATTAACTCGAGACTGCTCAACTTATTCAAATAAATACAATAAAACAGAACAAAACGAATAAAAACGAACAAAAGGAACAAAAGGAACAAAACGAATTAAACAAATAAAAACAAATAAAAACGAACAAAACGAACATAAGGAAAAAAAAGCGAACAAAAGAATAAAATGAGTAAAAACAAACAAAACAAACAAAACGGACAAAACGAATAAAACGAGTAAAAACGAACAAAACAAACAAACGGATAAAATGGACAAAACAAACAAAATGAATAAAACGAGTAAAAACGAACAAAACGAACAAAACGAACAAAAGGAACAAAAACGAACAAAAGGAACAAAACAAACAAAGGTTTTTTTTGACTGTATGCATATATGTCAGAACCTAAAAACGTTTTTTATTAGAAGTACAAATATTGTTAAAACATGGAATCTCTCATTTGGATTTTTTAAAATTTTCAGAATTTTTTTAGTTACTGATTATTTTCGGTGATTTGAAAAAGCGTGATTTTATAAAAAAAAAATAGTAACAAATTTCGAGCTGGCTCGAACTCGAATATTTGAGCTCGAGCTGAGTATAAACTCGGCTCAGCTCATTCGGAGCTTGAAGAAATGCCCTAATTCACAATCCCAGGGTCCTTCCACAACTTGTTCCAGAATATTTCGGTAGTGCAGATGGATGTGTTTACACATTTATTTCTTTTTAAAAAGGGGGGAAATTTGATGGTAAGGTTGTGGTTCAAAATGGATGTTTCTCACAGTTCAACAAGCAAGTTGAAATGATTAAATGTGGGCTTTTTATTTGATAATTTAGGTATAATTTTTATTATATTTAAATCATTCAGATACATTGTACTAAATTTAAAATTTTTATATTAATAAATTATTTATATATATATTATATATTATATGATATATTGATAATACATCACTTCAACTTGTTAATGCTATAAGAGATGAAAATATTGATTTGAAAAGGTAAAAAAATAAATAATACTGCAATTATATATGATTATTAAAAATTATATTTATTTTTTTATCAAAAAATTATTTGTGTGCATATTTGACATCCAAATTTCAAAATGAAAAGAAAAATCAAAGATATGATCATTGTGAGAAGTTATTACCTTTATATAATATCATTATTAAATATAAATAATCAAATTAATCTAAATATTTATATCCATTAGATGAGAAACTATAAATATGATAATTTATAACATAATAATATTAGTTATTATAATATTAAATTTTAAAATTAATAATTGAATAATAATCAATGAATAATTACCATTATTATTACCAATAATTGTTACTTTATTGGAATTTACAGGTTGAGGAAGGCCTGTAAATTTTAATAATCTGCTAGTATAAACAGCATTTGGATGAATTGCTGCAGTAATTGTCAAAGGATCAAATTTTATTTCAGCCATTTCATCAAACTCTTTTCTAATTGATTTTAATTCATCCTGCTGTTCTTTTGAATATCCATAATTTTCGAAATATGCTGAAAAAATTATCAATAACTTCAAGAGTTCAATTTGTTATTGATGAAGCTCACTGTGTATTAGAACACCAATATTTTCGAAATGCTTGGAATGGTGTTGCAGAGACTCTAAAAAGAGATTTTCCAAACTCTTCAATAATGATGGTTAGTGCAACAATGTCTGAAAAAGATGCACATATTTTGTGTGAAAAGATGAAGATAGAATGGAATGATCTTACCATAATTAGATCATCATCATTTGCACGTCCTCACAATTTTTTGCAAGTCCAAGAAAAGAAAAAATCAAAAAAAGATGCTAGTTATGGTCAAGTTGTTGAAGAAATCAACAAAAATCCTGCTGGAAGATGTATAGTTTATTGTGCATCACCTAAAATTTGTGAAGATCTCAAAATTTATATAATTAATGAAATTACAAATTGTGAGGTTGGCCTTTACCATGGTAATTTATCTGGAAAAGAAAAACATGTGTCATTAATGAAATGGAAAACTGGAAATACTAAAATAATTATAGCAACAAATGCTTTTGGCATGGGCATAAATACTTCAGATGTATACTTTATAATTCATTTCAATTTTCCTTTGAGTCTTGGCCAATATATTCAAGAAAGTGGGAGAGCTGGTAGAGATGGTTCACAATTAAAATGTATTATTTTATATTCAAGAAGTGACTTTAAATTATTATATGGAATCATTTCTGAATTTAGAGAAGATGCTGGAGAGTATGAAACCCCACAAAGAAGAATTTATCTTAGACAAAGTTTACAAAACCTTCATGAAATAATTTTTTTTGTGAAGAAAAATATAAATGCTTGCAACAATCATTACTTAACTTTTATGCATGGTCAACTGATGCTGCAACTTCTTCCTGCAGTAATTGTAATAACTGTCAGCATAAAGCTGCAGACAACCCAGATTTAATCAATGTAACTACAGATGCAACTGAAATAATTGAAATCACAAGAAAGTTATTTGAAGAATTAGAAGATAATGACATTGTAAGAGATGATATAATCGGAATTTTTCTCCAATTGAAAAATAAAAAAATAATTAACAGGAAATTGAACAAACTTAAAATTTATGAGGAAAATTTCAATAGTAATAGAACAATTAGAAATTCGAAACAGGCATTTCACTTACTTGATGATTTGATAACTAAAAAGATAATAATAGAAGTAGTTACAATGCAAAAATCAGGTGCAGGATTTTGGCTGACAAATTCCAAAATTATAGATATTGCTGAGGGTGCTGAAGAAATGATATATTCTCATTCTTGGGATTATTATTTATAAAATAAATAAATAAATAAATATATAAATAAATAAATATATAAATATATAAATAAATAAATAAATAAATATATAAATAAATAAATAAATATATATATATATATAATTTTTTTTTTTAATTTTTTATTATAGGAAATTTTAATGTATATTAATATTTCATAAAAATATTGATCAACATTGTACCCGGCAGGCAAAAA